CTGGCGCGCGGAGGGCCCGCCCGCGCCGCAGGCCCAGCACGCGGTGACGGAGGCGCTCCCAGGCGCCGCGGCGAGCCCAGGCGGCACCCCTCTGCTGTCGTCGGAGGCCGCGTCTGACTCCAGCCGCTCTAACCGCAAGCTCCGGTGCTGGTGGAAGGCAGAGAAAGGAAGGTGCGGACGGCCGGGAGCCACGTCTGCACCCAGCATGCACACATGGCTCGGCACGGGAAGGCACTGGAGGCGCTCGTCTCACAGCGTGCATGACTGTTTCGCCAAGATTGAGACGAGGTTTTACTGCAGCTGGGGAAGGCCATGAGCGAGCAAGGCCATGAGGCCAAAGAGGACAAGCACAACACAGCGAATGCAATTTTGATGTCTCGACTCATGGTAGCCCCTGTGGATGGCGATGGGAACTGCTTGTTCCATGCTCTCATCGTGTCTGGCGAGCTCACTATGACATGCGGCGAGCTTCGCGCGGAAGTGTGCAACTACATGCAGAAGTGGCCAGACACTTTCAAGCATTCGATCAATCACAGGGAGTTCCCAGACCTCACCAGATATCTGGAGCACATGCGTCAGAATGGCAAATGGGCCGACAAAGTATGCATGGCAGCGTGTGCAGCCGTCCTGATGTGGCCGATTATAGTGACGAGCACGGAGCCCAGGTCCTCAGAGGAGGAAGAGGTACCTACACCGCTACCCTCGGCCCCTTATCCCTTGTTTCGGCCTCCTGGGATGCCCTTGTCGCCACCGCTGGATTCGCTTCAAAATCCTGGTCGGAACTTACCCCGGGAACGGTCCGGGGAGTAGTTGTGTCGGTACCTTTTGGTTCCCCAGGGCCGCAGAAGGGACGGTTTGGTGTCGAAGCCTGCCGCGGGATGCCCAGCAGCGCCCGCCAGGCAAATTTGGAGCGAGCTCGCGATGGTAGCCCCCCCCATGCCAAGGGCAACGATGGTGATGATGATAAGGATGCTGATGATGATTGTGACGATGAGGCCGGTGATCAAGCAGATGTAATTGCTGTTGATGACGATGTGTTCATTGATGATGCTGACGAGGGCGATAGTAATGATGCTGTTGTTAGGGATGATGACGACGATGTGTGTATTCGGTTCATGGTGTTGCTGTAGATCTGAATGATGATGCTGATGATGAGGATGAGGATGATGACAATTATTGCGATGTTGCTTTTGATGCGCTGCTGCTGCTGATGAAACAAGTGATGATGATGACGCCAACGATGATGACGATATCGAGGAGGACGCTGACGATGATGATGATGATGACGATGATGATGATGATGAGTATGATTATGATTATGATTATGATGATGATGATGATGATGATGATGATGATGATGACGATGATGACGTGGATGCTGATGCTGATGATGATGCTGATGGTTATGATTGTGATGAGGAGGATGACAATGACGATGAAGATGGTCATTTTGCCATGTCAACATTGCCATCTCAACATTGCCGAAGCCTGCCGCGGGGTGCCAAGCGGCGCCTACCAGGCAAACTTGGAGCGAGCTCGCGAGGGTAGGCGCCCTTCCCATGCCAAGGGCAACGACGCTGTCTTTGCCGAGCTCGTCCCAATTTCTTGTCTTGGGGGTCCTTGGCTCGATTGCACAGCAGATGAGCCGTGTTCTCATCCTCCATGCTCCTCGAACCAACCTTTGTCGTTCTCACTCCTCGCTCTCCTCGTGCGGGCCCGGCCTCCTGGCTTTTGTGTCCGCAGTGCCACGGCGACAGATGCGCAGAGGGGCTGCCCGTCGCAGTCAATCCCTTCTATCCCGAGCTGGTCAGCAGGTTCGATCGGGGGTCTCGGGCCGTCCTGTTCGCTGCTGTTCCAGCTTGGTCTTCGACCGCTTGGCAGCCCTGCAGGGTCGAAAAGGTCTTCCCCTGTGGGCCGGGCGAGGCGGACGCCTCGTGTGCTGGCGCCGTTTGGGGCACGGGGGAGCTCGGGCGCTCTGCTCCCCGACAGTGGCTCCCAGGGCGGCCCCATGTGCCGACGCGTCGTGGGCGACACAGTTGCGTGCGCTGCCAAGCGCTCAGGCCGACAGAGGAAACAGAATATATATATATATATATATATAAAAAGGGGGGGCACCCCTCGAAACCGGGGGGGGCATCTGATACCCTCATTCAATCCTCACGTACGGGGGGGAATCGGCCAATGGGGCCCAGGCCACGCCAGTGGGGATGGGGGTCGGTTCAACGATGCCCGCATGTTTGGGCCATGCAGTTGGCTCTCGGCGAGAGCACTGCTCCGAGCACCAGGGGCGCGCGGGTGGCCGGCTTTCACCCTGGAGCGGGCCCACCTGCGATGTGTCGACGAGGCAACCCCGCTCGAAGGCAACCCACCGCGTATGCGGACCTCCGATGCCCCACCCTTCCTTCTTGCGCTCCTCATCGGGCTACGAAATCTGTGCATAGCCACTGCCTACTGGACGGGCCCTTCTTGGGCGCAGGAGCTGTGCAAACGCTCTCCTGCCCAAGCCGGGAGGGCGTGGCGTATACACATCTGCTGGGTCCAGGATGCGCCTGGCCAGGGAGCAGCGGATATGTATTGTTTTTGTCGCCCCACCTCATTTGTCTCGTCCCCCCGTCCTCTGCTCCCCTTGCTGTCGATGCAGCTGCGAAGCCAGAGCGTGTTGCACCCCTTCCCCGTGGATGAACTCCGCAGCCCAAGGCGGCGCCCTGATCCACCCCTCCCCCGTGGATTAACTCCGGGGTTAACTCACGGGGCACAGGGCGCCGCCCTGATCCACCCCTCCCCCGTCGATTTTTACTCCGGAATTAATTCACGGGGCCCTGGGCGGCGCCCTGATCCACCCTCCCCCGCGGATTAACTTTGGAGATAATCCCACCAGCCCTCCATGGGCGTAGGTGGTTTAGGGAGTTTCCTCTTCCCCTTCGGGGAGGGGTTTGTCACTGTTTCCCATTAATGTAAACCCCCTCCCCCAGGGGACTGCGAGCCAACCAGGAACAATACAGGACCCCCCCACCATCCCTTGTAAAAAACAATACGCAACACACACTCTGCCTCCAAATTCGGAGCATGCGCAGCCCACCCGATGCGGCCTCCCCCCACCATCCCTGTCAAAAAACAATACAGAGTACACTTGGCGGCGGCGGCGGCGGCTGCGGCGGCGGCGGCGGTGGCGGCGGCTGCGGCGGCGGCGGCGGTGGCGGCGGCGGCGGTGGCAGTGGCGGCGGCGGCTGCGGCGGCAGCGGCTGCGACGGCGGCGACGGCGGGCGGCGGCGGCGCGGAGGCGGCGGCGGCGGCGGCGGCGGCGGCGGCGGCGGGCGAGCGGCGGCGGCGCGGGGACGCGGCGGCGGCGGCGGCGCGCGGCGGCGGAGGCGGCGGCGGGCGGCGGCGGCGGCGGAGGCGGCGGCGGCGGCGGATAGACCCCCACTAGCTGCCCATCCAAAGACGACTGCTGAATATGCTGAGGCTCGGGCCAAGCTCGGGTGCTACGTACGTGTTGGGAGGGCGGGTGGGAGTGAGCGAAACGACTTGCGGGCGGGGAGGGAGTCGCGACCCCTCCCCCAACCCACTCCTGGACCTGGACGGGTGGGTCCGCGACGCGTTCGAGCGTCCAAAACGGCCTCGGCGAGGAAGCCAAAATCATTGGTTCAACTCGGGTTTGGGCCCCATTTTGGCATCTTGGTGGGGGGGGCTAGTTGAGCCCCCCCCTTCCTGTGATCGATTTCCTCCAAGATGGCCCCAAGAGGCGCCCAGGAGACCCCAAGAGGCCCCGAGATGGCCCCAAGATGGCCCCATGTGGCCCCAAGACGCCCCGAAGAGGCCCCCAGGATGCCCCCAAGAGGCTCCCAAGAGACCCCTACGAGGCCCCAAGAGACCCCCCAGAGGCACCCAAGATGCTCCAATAGGCCTCGGCGAGAATGCCAAAATCATTGACTTTACTGAGGTTCTGGCCACATTTGGGCCTCCTGGGGGGGGGCACTGCTTCAGATGACTCCACAAGCGCCTAAAAAAAAATTATCCCGGCAAAGCAACCTAACAGCGATGTGTAGAAGCATATCTGAAAGCATTCCCCTTAAGATTCAGATGAAAATCCAGTTGTCGAATTCTGCTGTTCTCGCAGTCGTAGTCGCATTCGCGATGACAGTCGCAGCGGCAACGGCAGTCGCAGTCACAGCCTCAGCCTCAGCCTGCCTCCTCCTCCTCCTCTTTTCCTGCTCCTCCTCCTCCTCCTCCTCCTCCTCTTCCTCCTGCTCGTCCTCGTTCTCGTCCTCCTCGTCTCTGCTCGTCCTCCTCCTCCTGGTGCTCTCTCCCCCCCCCTCCTCCTCCTCCTCCTCCTCCTCCTTGGTGGTCTCGTTCTCTCCTCCTGTGTGCTCTCCCCCCCCCTCCTCCTATCTCCTCTCTCTCCTCCTCCTCCTCCTCCTCTCTTTCTCCTCCTCCTCCTCCTCCTCCTCCTCCTCCTCCTCCTCCTCCTGGTAGTCCTCCCCCTCCCCTCCTCCTCCTCCTCCTCCTCTTCCTGGTCGTCCTCGTTCTCGTCCTCCTCGTCTTGCTCGTCCTCCTCCTCCTGGTGTTCTCTCCTCCTCCTCCTCCTCCTCCTCCTCCTCCTCCTCCTGGTGGTCCTCGTTCTCCTCCTCCTGGTACTCTCCCCCCCCCTCCTCCTCCTCCTCGTCCTCGTCCTCCTCCTCCTCCTCCTCCTCCTCCTCTCCTCCTCCTCCTTCTCCTCCCCCTCCCCTCCTCCTCCTCCTCCTCCTCTTCCTGGTCGTCCTCCTCCTCCTGGTCGTCCTCCTCCTCCTGCTCGTCCTCCTCCTCCTCCTGCTCGTCCTTCTTCTCCTGCTCCTCCTGCTCCTCGTCCTGCTCCTGCTCGTCCTCGTCCTCCTGGTCTTGCTCGTCCTCCTCCTCGTCGTGCTCTTGCCCCTGCTGAAAATGTGGCCCAGGAATGGGAGTTCTGGGAAGTCGAAGAGCACGAAGTTGCCTACAGTTGGCTACGGGCATTCAAAATGTGGCCCGGGAATGGAGTTCTGGGAACTCGAAGAGCACGAAGTGGCCTACAGTTGGCTCCGGGCATTCAAAATGTGGCCCGGGAATGGAGTTCTGGGAACTCGAAGAGCACGAAGTGGCCTACAGTTGGCTCCGGGCATAAAATGTGGCCCGGGAATGGAATTCTGGGAACTCGAAGAGCACGAAGTGTGTGACTGTTGCATCCGGCCCTCCAGAATGTGGCCCGGGAATGGCGTTCTGGGATGTCGATGAGCACGAAGTGTGTGACTGTTGCATCCGGTTATTCAGAATGTGGCCCGGGAATGGCGTTCTGGGATCTCGAAGAGCACTTTGTGTGTGACTGTTGCATCCGGGTATTCAGAATGTGGCCTGGGAATGGAGTTCTGGGAAGTCGAAGAGCACGAAGTGTGTGACTGTTGGCGAAAAACGAGCCCGGCACCCTGCTGCCCGGCAACTCCCCAACACCTGCCCGGACCCCCCTGTGGAGTGATCTGTGAGCTCTTTTGACCCTACTAGAAACCTATCAGTCTTCGCTGTTAGGTAACATTATCCCGGCAAAGCAACCTAACAGCGATGTGTAGAAGCATGTCTGAAAGCATTCCCCTTAAGATTCAGATGAAAATCCAGTTGTCGAATTCTGCTGTTCTCGCAGTCGTAGTCGCATTCGCGATGACAG